GTCTGCAGCCGGAATTCGAGAAGCGGGCACCGCGGTCAGATTGGCGAACGAACTTAAACCTGAAAAGCTTTTTGACTGGAACAAAGATATCTGACGAAGGATCGCGATATTACGGTGAGTATGTGCGCAGTGGGCGTATCGTCGCAAGGCAAAAGTTGACGTTCTAACGTTGCAAACAAATCATGGTTTCTTCAGGCTCATTTCGTCCACTACAACGAGAGGCTTTGCGAAAGTCTACAGCAGCCCCCACCATCTTTAAGCCCGTCAAAGTCAAGGATGTTCTGTATTGTGACGGAGGCATTGTTGCGAGCAACCCTACCGCGATTGCTATCCATGAGGCACGAACCTTGTTCCCCGATGTGCCTATCGAGCTTGTCGGTAAGTTCTCTTTAATGAAAGGGAGAATAAAACTCACATACTCTCAACGCAAACGTCCTTTGAAACTGTGTAGTCTCCATTGGAACAGGAGGATTCGCAGAGGAGAAATTTTCTCCCAAATTTGGGTGGGACGCCATTGTTGGACAGATTGTTAATAGCGCTTGTGATGGCGAGCGCATTCATCATGTTTTGGAGGATATTGTTGGAGAGGGCGGCAAGAATGGCAAGGGCATGAAGTACTATCGGTTCAATCCATTGATCGGCACTCCTGACGCCTTTCCCATCGATACTAAGGATCCAGCGTCTTTGGCGCAGCTCTACGAGATTACAAGCAACTATCTGAAAGAGCCAGAGCAAATGAGAAAGCTCAAAGATATTCGAAATATTCTGGATGGGAAACGAGGTTGGAGAAAGCTGCTGCCCTGACTTAGAATGTAGACACGCTGCATCATTTTAGTGCTTAGCCCTTCACTCCACTATTCTGCGACTCCTGTCTCTGACGGTGGTACAATCTTTATCGGTAGCTCGTTTGGATAATTTACTGCTACGTAATTCAGACAAATATCGCGTACGTCGCGATCAAATTCGTTGAACAATGCCTGCGCTGTCGGGATGATTCGCTCGGATAGCATACGCCTGAGAAATTCCAGTTTTTTCCTATCGTACATGGATCGCATTAGGGAGGATCGCGGAGAGGGATCCAGGGTAGTCTCAAGACCATCAAATTCCACGAGAGAAGCTAAAGCCTCGACAAGGTCGGTTATAAGTTCATCGGCACGCTTGTTCTTGGCTTTCCTAGCGTACCACGCCAAGTCCTCCAGAGTCTCTCTAAACTTCAGCGAAGCCAAAGTGTAAACCCGACTTGTGGCTCCACCACCGACCTTGCCTGTCACAGCTGCCTTGGCACCCAATCGAGATTCGAGGTAGAGATCCAAGACCCGGTCGTCGTTTTCCAAGTTGATCTGTATGTCGCGGCTTTCGGCTTCCGCCCAATACTGAACGCGCAAAAGATTGACTAAACAAAAGGACAGGTCCCGTCGTTCAGTTCCGCTAAATAATCCAGCGTTGCAAGGTTGAGATATGGCCAGGGCAGGTAATATTGATAGTACTATCAACTTCCTTCTGGAAGTGCCAGAATACACTTCTGTCGTGGCCGTTTTCACTTCGTTCTCCACAATCCAACGAGCAACCCCTATACGCTTCGATGGTGAGCCAACATGCAACCCAACTATGGGGACACAAGTGGGCGCCAGCAAAAGGCTGGTAAGAATAGCAGTGCATAGATCTCGACTACGCATTGTCGAATTCCTTTGGGATTGGTTTGTTTTTCATGACAACATTTTGTTGTGACATTGTAGTATGTCACGGACTGTGTGGTCTGTGGACATACCATTGCATGATGCTTCATGTTCTTGATGCAAAAAATTCTGCGTGCACCCACATTTTGTTACATACAGTACACAGTACTACCATACACAGTAAATGCAACGATCTATGGTTTTCTCTTAAAAAAGAAGTCTTAACTCGATAACCTGTCGGCAATGCCTCCCTCGTCTGATGCCTTATTACGCTGTGTATATGGCATCATTGCGACAGCTGACAGCCGACGCTCCAATCTGGTTTGCGAGTTGACTTGGCTCAAGATCTGAACCTGCACATTGACCTCAGTGCATGAATTCGCATAGAATATCGATGCGACTCTCTCTGGAATGCGAGTCATAAAAGATGTATTGTTACTATATACATGTATTATGTTGTGCTTTGTTAGTGATCCTTCACTTTCTTCTTTCCTCGAGCCTGGTCAGCAATTCCCGTGTACAGACCACCAAACACTAGAAGAACAGCACTCCATTGCGCGGGAGTGAAGACATGTCCAAAGTGCAGAACGGAAATGAGAATCGTGAAGAATTTTCGCGTTGTTGTGATTGTTGTACATATGAGAGGCGAGAACCACGTCAAGGTCAAGAAAATGAAGATTTGCCCGGACGCCGCTGTTGCGTTCAAGAGAATCATTCCATGTTTTATTTCGTCGAGACGGGACATTCCGTCCGCCCATTCTCCACTTTGTATTGCCACCGGGACAATCCAAACCAAGGCATAGACGTTGACATACAGCATGGTCTCCATCGCTGTTGGAGGTCGACGTTTGCCTTGCAGGTCTGATCTCTTGAGCAGACCTTGACACGATCCTAAGAATCCATCCATGCAGAGTGAAACAAAAAGAAGGATTAAGCCATGTAGCGAGTCTTGCTTGTCATCTGACACTGATGATAGTCTGGATAGATTGAACAGAACAATGCCCAATGTAATGCAACCTGCTGCCGTCCATTCGTGAAGCGAATAGCGTTTGCGTTCAATAAAAATCGACATGAACATGGTGGGTATAAGTTTACAGGACTTTGCGAGGACAGCTGTCGGGTAACCGACGTATCGAAAGGCATAATTGGATGTGCTCATGGCAGCGATGTAGCAAAGGGAAGTCACCAGAAGTAAAGGGTGGTTGAGACCTAGATTACTCGTGGCAGTCTCGCCTTTTCCCCAAAGTTTCTCAACTCGCGACCATCCTAACGCTACCAACGCGTTGGTGGCTGTTTGACTCACAAGTGCGAAATTGGCTCCGATTCTGTTCGAACCGGAAAAATATTGCTCTTGAAGAATTCCGTAGCAGATGTAACAGCAACAAATGCCGATTGAGCAGATAATGAGTGCGACTGGTCCCCGTTGCAGAGCAGCATTGGATTGGGGGGAGCACTTCATACGCATCCCTTGTGCGTGTGTTTCGAGGCAGTGGAGATGTTGTAGCTCTAGCCGTAGATGGCTTTTTCGCGTCCCTGCCAAAGGCAATCGTAATGAATGAAATCGGAGGTGTTGTTTCTATTCCCAAATCGAAATTCGATGGCAGATGGAGCCAGGTTTGGTGTGAAAGGTGACAGGCATGGCACGCGATATGTGACGTTGTGTCAGTGTCAGACGTGATGCCACGCGGCAAGGTGATATAGCGGGATGCATGTTTAGCTGATTAGCCTACAGGCGTCTTGTGTCGAGTCGGCTACGTAATACTGTGCTCCAGTACAGTACTCGAGTACTGTACTCGCAAATTTCAATTACTAAAAGTACCGTAGTGAAGATGGCTACCAGTACCGGTATAAGGGTACACTGCTACTACCATCTTGTCGACATGAAAAGTCGACAGCACTACGTTATCCAGCAGTCATGGGACACAGTACTTATGACACCGGCTGGTCGACACCAAAATCAAAGCAGCACGACCAGCTGGTGCGAACACTCTTTGGATAGGGGTACCTGGTAAGGTTGCTCCAGACACCTACATACTACATACATGTCCCATGTCGATTCTTGAAAGGTACTCGTACCTGGAACAGGAGTTTATGGTAAAGTTGACGTACTGATTGCCCATGATCCATCATGCCAAATGGGACAATCGACAGAAACCAATTGCCAGGCGCATAGACCCCAACAGAAGAGGTTTTCATCAAGCCAATTCATATTAATTCAGTCGATTTGGAATCATTCCATTCCACAGAGAGGGTGACTGGTTTCGTAGCTTGTCTTGGACACTTAACTGTCGAATTGCTGTTTCCAGTGCGGTCGTCCAATCGGGGGTCAATGACGGTGATATCTGCACATGAATACATCTTTCCTCGTCCAAATCCAGGTGGATAATACTGCCGACAACCTTAAAGCTTGTCTTACTTGTCAAAACAATAGCATTGTCGTCTAGATGCAGTATGCCACACCGATATAGTTTGCAGCCGTGATCCTCCACCAAAACATCAATTGGTAGGAGCAACGGTTGGTTCGAATGATCGATTTCAAATTCGTAAGCGTTTCCTTCTTGCTCGCTGCTTGGTTCCGGAATGGGCCGTCGTGCCATGTCAAGAAGTTGTCGTTCTTCGATTGCTAGCTGTTTTTTGTCAGGTATGCCCTCGATGCCAATCTCCTCGTCGTCGTTGTCATCATCGTTGGATAGGTTCCACCAAAACTCACGCCTCTCCTTCTGATGCAGCGGAATTAGTGGCTCTTCTAGCAACGAGTTCAAGAGTGGATAAGAACTCCGCGGCAACCTTCCCACCAACTCCTCTGAAGTGGGTGCTGCCACCAAAATTTGAAGCAACCAAAGGCAACGTTCCACAGACTTTTCCAAGCAATCACAAGCTTCAAGAGAATGAACATATTGCAATCGCAACAGGAACGAGGTCACGAGCAAGGCTCGATACAAGTCACACAGTACGTGTAATGACGAAGTGTATTCCTCGTAACTTTGAAGATTGTGCTTCTCAGTGCAACAACCGATCAATGCATCGTATGCCTTCGTCAGGTTATGTCGTTCAATTGGATCACCTAACCATTCTGTCACCACCTGATGAAGCACTTTTGGCACCTGGGAAGCAACTTCATCATCATTCATCGTCGCATCGTAGCCCATATGAATTGGAGTCAGGAACAACGACCCTAAGCAAACAAAACACTAAGCCTCCCTTCAGCGAACGAAACAAAAACAGTCAGTGCTTGAGCCATGGTCGTAAATTTTTCACACGGTGCACGGTGCTAGAGATAGTCCACAGAATTAAAGTACCAGTAGGATAAATAAAAGTTTAGTCAGCCCCCTGTCGGATTCGAACCAACGACCTCCTCATTACGAATGAGGTGCTCTAACCGGCTGAGCTAAAGGGGCGATAACAGTCACAGCTACAGTTTAAGTGCAAACGTAAGGTATTAAAAGTGTGAAAGTCAACAGGGTTGCATCTTCGGAATTTCTGATTTCTTCATGGAGGATTACAAAGGAGGAAGTGAACAGAGCTCGTTCGAGATAGGAGGGTAATTCCAGGGTCAGAGGAGGCCACAGAAATGCTTCCGCATTCGATTTTTAGAGCATCCCCACCCGTCACGCTTTTTTTTTGTCCACGGACACCAAGTAGCGTGTATAGAAACCTATTTTCGGCAATTTTTGGTGTCTTTCTTCCACCGGTGCTACGCTACTTCTGGCGTGCTCTTTTCCACCCGCAACGCTAAACTTTTTGGCGCACGACGGTGCGCCAAAATATATTGAAATTTCTACGTGTTCCAGCATCGTATCGATCAACAAACTTCTTGCTCCTCTGATGCCACTTTTAAAGTCTCTCTTGCTATCCTCCCACTAGTACGCACCACCACCATGGAGGACGATGACAACGAAGGTTTCCTGATGCAGCAGGCTCTGCTTGCCAACAGCAGAACAAGGCAACATCAGGCTGGACGCACCAGAGGGCAGCCCAACTTCAAAATCGACGAAGATATGAAGTTGGCAAGTGCATATGCATTGGTGGGAACCAATGCGGCAGTTGGCACCGACCAAGACGGCAACACATTCTGGCAGAAGGTTCGCGAGAATTTCATGAGGCGTGGTGGTTCTCCGGAGAGGACCATCATATCACTGCAGAACCGATTCAACAAGGTTCTACAGTGCGAGGTCCAGAAGCACGTTGGCTATCTGCAGGGCGCTCTTCATGAGTTCCACAGCGGATGGACAATGGAAGACTACAATCAAGAGGCAAAGAAACAGTTTCAGCATCGCCAAGGAAAGATTTTCAAGCATGAATTGGTGTATTCCATTTTGAAGAGGCTTCCAAAATTTGAACTAGTAGCTGCAAACATTGATGAACGAGTCGCCCGTGCGTTGTTGTTTTTGCTCGACAACGATGTTGCTGTTAACCAACGCCAGCAAGAAGGAAGGGGAGACAACCGCAAGAACAACAATCATTCTACCACCCGCCAAGTGTTTGCTTCGCTTGGAAACAATCGTGCTGCTGCTGATAATTACAATGATGTTCCTGACTCCTCACTTATCACCACACCTCGCCCATCCATAGGAAAAAAGAAGGCAAAGGAAACTGCCTATGCTCGCAACAGCAGGGGGGTACAACAAGCACCAGTTCAACACTCCAACCTCAGATGACAGCAGGAGAAAGGCAACTGAGCTCAAGAACGTGCAAAGAAGCAAGCATACCCTCGTCCTCACTAGGATTGCAGAAGTTGCCGAAGCAAAGCACAAGTTTGCTCAGGATAAACTTTTATCTCAGATTTATTTGCAGAATCCGAATACTGCTAAGGCCAAAGCATTTTTTGCCCGAATGGAAAGTCGTTATGACAGAGGAGGAGAGGATGAAGAACAAGTCAGCACTGAAATGACGAATGAAGCATGTGTGCCACGTCGTACTCCTCTCCCAGTGAATCACCACACCAACGAGACCCTTCTTGCTGCTCGTAGAACGACTGCTGTTGCTCGTTCTCCGTATACCGACGAGAACATCAGCAGTGACGAAGATGAAGAACAAGTCACCGAAAGAAATGAAGCACAGTGTCGTGCTGCGCCGCGTCATGCCAACAAGACCGTTCTTTGTAGCAGGACTGTTGCTCGTTCTCAGCATGCTGATGAAAACACCAGCAGTGAGGAAGACGAAGACAAGCAAGTCACCGAAAGGTATGAAGAAGCATGCGTGCCGCGTCATGCTTCTCGTGTGCTGCTCCCAGCAAATCACGCCAACATGACCCAAGTAGCAGCATCCTCCACCGAACCGTATGGACGTGCGGCAGCACCTCTCCCCCGCCCGCCTAATGTGGAGCTTCCTCATTACGATGATGATGACGACGACGACATGCTGGATAATCTTCCAGCACTGCCTAACACTCAGAATCTGATGGCGATGGTCAGGGCAATGGAAAAAGATCCAATCCTCTGCCCAGCATCAACGCAGCTGCCTTTGATTCACAGGCGACCACACTTGAGGAGCAGCATGATGACAGTATGCATCCTAATGCTCGAATTGTCGGAGATCTTCGTGAATATGTTACATTTCCACCAACCATTGACTTTAGTCGCATCCACGGTTCTGACTTTAACTCTGATAACGACAACAATCCTTGAGAACAATAAAAATCATTCTTTTAGCCCAAGTTTACATCTTCACGTACTCTACGTTTACTACTAGGCAGGTCGCTTATTTAGTTCAAAGTATTTGCTCTAGCTATGCCAACGATGCACTGATTTCTTCGAGACAGGCTGAGTTGTCAAAAACGACCACGTTGCACATACTTGTCATATAGTCATCAGGCTTCTGCTACTAGTTGCTGGCATTAAATGTCTAACAAATGCTCCGATCCATCACTTTCATTGCCGCTGCCTGCTTCTTCATCACCATTCATCGTATTCCACCTATCCCACATCTCAACCATCAAGTCGTGCTGAAGGCGATTGTGCTGATTTGCATCCTTCATTTCAGCAATCATATTTGTCCTGTCCTCTGCAACTTGACCTTCTGCTCGTGGGATTATGGTAAAAGGGTGTGCTGGAATGTATTCAATACCAGCAATGTACGTCGGATCGATGTTGTTACGCGTTCGAAGTCAATGATCAAGTTGTGCAGAATTACGCACGTCTTGATCACCGTCTTCATTGCATCTCTGTTCCACAAACGACAACCAGATGTCAAGATATGAAAGCGGGCCTGTAGAATACCAAAGGCCCGCTCAATGTCCTTTCGCTTTGCTTCCTGTGCGGTAGCAAACATCTTTTGCATTCTTGTCGCGGGCCTCGGGAACGTCTTAACGAAACAGGCATAGGTCGAGTATATTCCGTCCGCAAGCCAATAGGCGTAGCGGTAATGGTTTCCGTTGACCGTATAAGCTACCTGCGGCGCTTCTCCTTTCACAGCATTATGAAAAAGGGGGGAACGGTCCAAGATATTGATGTCATTCAATGAACCCGGGGAACCAAAGTTGAAGTGCCAGAAACGGCAAGTATGGTCTGCAATGGCCTCAAGTACGACAGTGGGGCGCCGAGATCTACCTTGGAACATACCCTTCCACGAAGAAGGGCAATTTTTCCATTCCCAGTGCATACAGTCTATGCTTCCAATGCAACCCGGGAATCCTGCATCCTTTCCCTCATCAAGAAGGCGATTTATGTCGTCAATTGTTGGATGTCGCAGTGCATCGGCTTCATACAACTCATTGACAGCAACACAGAAACGTTTCATTCCTTCAAGTGACGTAGACGCTGCCATCCTATATTTGTCATCATGTTCCATCGATGACACACCAGAAGTTAACAGACGTACTGCTGAAGCAACCTTCTGGTGTGTTGACAACCCGATCTTGCCGGTAGCATCTTTCTTCTGACAAAAATAGTCGTCGTGTTGGCGAACACGGACCAAAATCTCATCAAATAACTTGATTGGAAGCTTAAAGAAAAGCTTGAAGTAATTGTGTGAATATACTGGCATCGGCCCCCAAAAATCATTGAACAACAAGTGCGAATAGAACACACGGTGGCGCTCGATGTTTGCAGCCCTTCCCTGTGTAGATCCACCCCAATTGAATAACGCCCTTCCTTCTTCGTACTCGCCATCACTGCTGCTGTCAGAAAAATCTTCCTGACACACTATCATTACTGTGTCAAAAAGGCTGTCATCATCGTCGTCGTCATCGGACGAAGCAATCTCCATTCTTGGTGGGTCTGGTTGATTAAATTGACGATGTGCAGTTTGTGTGCTACTGGGAAACACATCATAGTACAGCATGATGCATGTCGCGCCATAAAGGATTGCTCACAAGAACAACTTGATTCGAATGGTTCGACAGTGTATTCGGATGATTCGATTCCTCAACTCCTTTGAGTCGAACAAGTCAAAAACAGGCACGCTATTCATTCTATTTTCATTCTTTTCACCACTGATATAGCGTGCCAAGAATGAAATAGCGTGACCAAAATGTCAAAAGGCCCAACCGGTGGTATAATTTCTGGACATTTTCGTCACGCTATTAGACCATTTTTGCAAAATAGCGTGACGGGTGGGGATGCTCTTAGTCCACATCAGGCAAGTTTACATTCGACGTCACGGGTCGACCAAAGCATGCAAGGGTTAAGGCTAATTTTGAATTTGAGTCTTGGTTGTCGAATTCTGTTATCATGCTCTATCATACAATTGGGCAGCAACGGTCCACAGATCATGGATGCCAACACTAAAGAACAAGCGATGCGATTCATGCAGCTTGAGCCTTTCATAAACGTGGTCACTTGTTCTCCACTCGTACATCACTCTTTGGTATCAACTGTTCAATGTAGACTGGTCTAAGCAACATGGAAAAAGTCGAGAAAGCCCCCCTTGCGCTTGACCGTCAACCACGTCGTTCAAATTCTTCGTCATTGGTTGGTACCAACCTTCCTCAGAAATGCTCCATCAGTGCTCGTCAAAAGACTAGAGAAATCTACAATGCTATTACTATATTCCAGAAAAGCTGTAATGATCCATTCGGCGGTACCGATACTTCGTTGCTTATGAGTGTCCTGCACCCAAAACCAAGGATCCCTCATGACTTTTTCGATTGCTTGGCATTATTGCGCCAAGATGATATGCTGGCCATGACCGCGCCAAGGAGCTTAAATTTTGACTTGGAAGACCAGTCCATCATAGTGACGAGCGAGCCATGTGGAGAATGGGAGCGAAACCCCGAAAACCGAAGTACAGTACTTGTACTCGGAGTATTTATTATCTTGGAGTACAGTACAAGACATAGTACTCCAGTACAGCAGACCGTGGTTGTCGTGACACACTCGACACAAGAGAATGATCGATAGAGCGTAGCGTGCCGCGTGCCATCTTCCCCATAATCGGCGTATAGTACCAGTTAAAAACC